AAATTTTGCAAAACAATTCGATTGCCGCCACCCCTGCAGCCTATGTCATATAGCAATGGAACCCCCTTATTTGGGGGAATGTATAATTATTGTACTGGTATTACAAAAAGCCCTACAGCAAACATTCCCAGAATGAAATTATACATTGTCAAATACATACATATGTATGTATCATTTGTTTTACAATTTTTTGCAATTAAGGATATAATAATAAAACAAGTAAAAATATAATATAAAAATAAAGTGCAGTATTTTGTCTATTCCGAATTACAGGGGAACGGCAAAGTGGAGTTTGGTCGATTGAGCCAACCACGGCAACCAGACCTACTGTTGTGAGCCAATTAAAATAACGACCTACAGGTTATAGCCCTGTTTAGCAGACACAATTAAAGTTACAAACATAATGAATTCCTATCAGCGTGTATGCAGGGCAGTTCTCTCAGCGTGTATGCAGGGCACTTCTCTCAGCGTGTATGCAGGGCAGTTCTCTCAGCGTGTATGCAGGGCACTTCTCTCAGCGTGTATACAGGGCACTTCTGTCAGCGTGTATACAGGGCACTTCTCTCAGCGTGTATGCAGGGCACTTCTCTCAGCGTGTATGCAGGGCACTTCTCTCAGCGTGTATGCAGGGCACTTCTGTCAGCGTGTATGCAGGGCACTTCTGTCAGCGTGTATGCAGGACACTTCTGTCTGCGTGTATGCAGTGCACTTCTGTCAGCCTGTATGCAGGGCACTTCTGTCAAAATGTATGCAGGGCACTTCTATCAGAATGTATGCAGGGCACTTCTGTCTGTGTGTATGCAGAGTCCTTCTGTCAGCCAGTATGCAGAGCACTTCTTTCTGCGTGTATGCAGGGCACTTATGTCAGCATGTATGCAGGGCACTTCTGTCAGAATGTATGCCGGGCATTTTTATCAGAATGTGTGCAGGGCACTTTTATCAGAATGTATGCAGGGCACTTTTATCAGAATGTATGCAGGGCACTTTTATCAGAATGTATGCAGGGCACTTTTATCAGAATGTATGCAGGGCACTTCTATCAGAATGTATGCAGGGCACTTTTATCAGCGTGTATGCAGGGCACTACTTTGTCAGCGTGTATGCAGGGCACTTTTGTCAGCGTGCATGCAGGGCACTTCTGTCAGAATGTATGCAGGGCACTTATGTAAGCGTGTATGCAGGGCACTTCTGTCAGAATGTATGCGGGGCACTTTTATCAGCGTGTATGCAGGGCACTTCTGTCTGCGTGTATGTAGGGCACTACTTTATCAGCGTGTATGCAGGGCACTTCTGTAAGCGTGTATGCAGGGCACTACTTTATCAGCGTGTATGCAGGGCACTTCTGTAAGCGTGTATGCAGGGCACTTCTGTCAGAATGTATGCTGGGCACTTTTATCAGCGTGTATGCAGGGCACTTCTGTCTGCGTGTATGCAGGGCACTACTTTGTCAGCGTGTATGCAGGGCACTTCTGTCAGAATGTATGCAGGGCACTTTTTTCAGCGTGTATGCAGGGCACTTCTGTCTCCTTTATGCAAGGCACTTCTTTGTCAGTGTGTATGCAGGGCACTACTTTGTCAGCGTGCACAGAAGGCGTCTCTATAAACGTGTATGCAGGACATCCCTGTCAGTGTGCACGGAGGACATCTCTGTCGGCGAGGGCACCCCACTAAACCGAGAACAATTTACGATGGATTTTATGAATGTTTAACCAGAAATTATTAACACGTGTGCTGGGCGATGCATAGAGTGGAGAAAGATGGACAAGCGCATCGATGAATGCAGGATAAACAATTCTCTACCAAACATCACAATTCAATTATCTGATTCAGTGCGTCCACATGTCACGTGACTTGATGACTTATCCTATGCTGGTGTGTCTACGACCAGCTAGAACGACCCGCACTAACACGCTCGTCCTTGCACATACAAAAAGTGAGAATCAGAGTTTTCACATTGTGTTACGATCTAGTGGTGAGAGAAATGACTGGCACGTACGCTGAATAGCTCTTTCTTTGTTCAAAAAGAGCTTGGTATCGTGATGGGCAAACGGGCGAGCACAAAAGATTGTTCAGCCTTGAAGCCATGGACGCTGGAAAACCAGACTTTTGTCAATCCAATCAGAGTGCCTTAACCTCCACTTCCGGGATCACTTAAATCCGTATCCAAAGGAGGTACTTTTCTACACCGTGGCACAAACCCTCATAAAGAATAATAATGAAGAAAACAATTGAGCAGCGAGGTCGGAAGCCCATGGTGGACGGTCTCGTCGACACGCATACGACGAGCCTTGGCTGGTCTCTCCTAAACATCATACTTTCCACTGAATTTAATGTAAAGCATAGAGAGTAAATTGCTATTGTATTCTACTCTCCCCCACAATGTCAAATATAAAAGCCTTTTCCCGCACGGAGTAGCAAATGTCACGTGCATCAATCATGTAAGTGACGCCACGTGGAAGGGTGTGTTAATTTGTATGTATGAGAAATTAGACCGCACATCAAACAAACAAACAAACAAACAAACAAACAAACACACACATAATACAATAATAACGTTATTAGATGGTCCATGTATTGTGACTAAGCAGTTGCTTGTAATAAACCGTCCTCGGAATCGCATCACGGAATCATTGTTTTTTTTTAACAATATGAATTTGCCTTTATTGCCGTTGTCATTCATAGCAGGTATATGTGTTGTCGAGAGTTGCAGTCCCAATAACATGTGTTTGCATATGTGTATATTTAGAAAGTCGGACAAACAATTGAACCATATTAAGAACAATTCATTATCTGGAAAAATACAAACAAGGGTGTATAGTAATAAATGAAAAGTATAATTTGGTTTGAAAAAATAGTTCCACGGTGTCCATGTAATTCACTATTATTGAAGGTTTCAATAGTCGGATTCTTTAGTCGGTTATTACAAGTGTATAGTGGAAAATTTGTTTGCAAATTATCATTCTCCCAACTTGTGTTTTACAGTTAGCCATGTAAGTTGACACTCAAAAAAGTTGTTTCTATGCAATATTATTGTCTTGCCTATTAACAAAGCATCTGGAATTGTTAACTGTATTTTGTTCTCTTTGTGACAGTGTATCAAACAAGGGTGTTAACTACATAACTAACCCTACTCAAGTATTTCACATTTCTAGCATCATTCTGTGAGAAAATGAAAATATCTACAGTTTTTTTTTCTGAATAAACACCATGCTTGTATGGCGTGAAAATCGAAAATCATATCGTTAAAAAAACTCTGTTTGCTAATTATGATTGAAACTCGCCCAACAACTGGAAAACCGAAACGCAGAAAATACCTATTTTAATGTACACCTTAGAGTTTTGAAATTTCCAAATATTTTTTTTTTAATAGTGTGAAACGTCAAATCAAATCAACAAAAAACGATTGGAGGTAATTATGTTTGAAACTCCCTTACCGACTGAACAACCAAAACGCAGAAAATACTAATTTTTAAATATAACTTAGAGTTTTAATATTTTCAAATGTAGTTTTTTAATGTTCCACACTGTACTGACAACACTATATAACATAAAACAGACCATCACGCACAGTTTGGGCTCATCGAACATTCATTTATGCCTTGAAGTATATATTTGTTGTGAGATTTGTTTACTTAACTTGTAGCCATGTTCCCTAATTTAGAATGAAACTTACTAGTATGTTCAGTTACATGGTTACCACAGAATTGCATATCGTCATAAGGCTGAGAAAAAATATCTCTGTTTCTCGTTTCCGCGCGCATTTTTTTTTTTTTTTTTTTTTTATTTTGAACTATGCGCCTCGGACGTTTTTTTCTATCTTAAGCATTCCAAAATGCGCTTGTACTCGCACTTGTCTCAAATTTTCCCCATTTTAGCTCAGTATTCAACAAAAAAAAAATCGTCTCGCCGCCTCATTTTGAAATTTCCATGAAACGAGAAACAGATAATTTTTTTTCCTGGCCTAAACCATATAATTTTGTGGTATATGTTGGTTACTTTATGACACTTATTTCGCGATACATCGTCGTAAAGTATCCCCACTTTGCGATACTTGATGGTCATCACATGTTATCGTCGTAAAATACAAGGCGAGACAGCGTGAAGTACAACTATTTTGCGATAAATTGTCGTAAACTATGTGCACTTTGTAATACCATATGGTTAATACAAGACATTGTCGTAAATTACATATATTTTTTTCCATTTTTTTCTATTTTTATTCTCACTTTAATTGTTTGTTTGTCTTTATTCACATCTGTATTGCATTTTATTCAAAATCCTAATAGGGATACGAACGCAATACAGATAATTATTATTATTATACTTCATAAATTACCCCTTTGCGATACATTATGGTTACTAGTAATACAATACATCGCCGTAACAACGCCGTGCTGTGATATCTGATGGTTACTACTACGAGTCACATGGCTGGGAAAGTACTATATTTGTTACCGTAACGATACCCCATCCACATCTTTACATCTGGTGCCTTCCCACCACTGTCCCAGAATCGGCTTTGTCGTCATCAACTCACACAGTGTTGAAGTGTCCTTCGGCGTTCACGATGAATTGAGACGCCTAATCAGTGTTCATCAAGTCAACAAAAAGGTCACTATTTGTCACGAACAAGCAATACGTTGTCAGGTTGAAGGACGGCGGGCGTGGCACTAAACAAAAGAACATCTGACTATACATATACTATATAGTGACGTATATTCAAAGAAATGTGTGTGGTAATGAAATACTAATCGCGTGATACTAATCAAATGTTACATCCGCTTGTACACATTCGTTTATAACAACATCTCGCTTCATGGTTTGTTTATTATCACGAGAAGTAGGGAATTTGTGACAGCTCCAGGCGTGCTTCCGTCGTAGAGCGCCGCCAGCAGTCTATTAACACTATTAAAGCCAGTACTTAATTTAATAATGCCGGTTTGTATATATCAAATAAATCACTTCTTTAACCCACTTTCCGGTTACTTTTTGACATACAGGGATTCCTGTAGGGGTATCTACGCCAGAGCAAGTTGTATTATCGCAGTCATCAGTGCCAGGTGCGCATGTCGGGGTGTTCTCGTCGACGTGGATAAAAGAAGGCACAGAAATGGGACCTTACACCGGGAAAATAATAAAACAAAGAGATGTGAATCCAGATAAAGATAATCCGCTAATGTGGGAGGTAAGAGACTGTGTATTAGCAAACACTTTTTTTTCCAATTTTTCAGCGTTTCGTCGTTTTTTTTCGGCAAGGAAAGCAAACACTTGGCACAGTTGTTAATATATGTAAGGGTACGAGCGGTATACAAACTATTGATGCAGACATTTTTAGAAAGGTTATTCCTATTATTATTTTAAAGTACGAAGAACCAGTTTTAAAAATATGAACCTCTGTTTTTGAATTTTCAATTCAAATAGAGAAAGGTTTAACACTTCGGTGAAAATCACCAAGCTCTTGTTTTAATGAAAAAAAATGTCCACTCTATTGGAAGAAACTTTTCGTGCAGTAAAGTCTCCCGAATGTGTGTTTATTGAGTGTCGTCGAGAACAATGAGTACACAGAAAGATCGAATTGTTTACTGCATAAAATGATGGACACATGAGAGATATAAGAAAAAGGAAACAAAAACCACCGAACGAGGGCGCTCGCCTTAACAAAAATCACGATTATTTCAGAATAGCGAAATAGCAAATAATGTAGGCGAATAACATCGTTTTCAAATTAGTAGCTGGGAAATATTAAACCTTGGTGAGATTCAACATATCTGATCGATATTAATTCTGATATCACCACTAAATTACGAGAATAGTGAAGTTCTCAACAATATCGCCGAGAACTTGAATGTATATCGATTTTTACCAACTGCGAAAAATATGTTTTTCTTCTATAATGATGACGAATAAGCCTGAAGTAACACGAAAGGCAATAATTTAAAAAGGACACGTGTTTTACAGGTATTTAATAGTAACGGTGACCTGAAACACTTGGTGGATGCTAGCTGTATCCCAGAAGAACACAGAAGTTGGATGAGTTATGTCAACTGTGCCAGAAATGAGGAGGAACAGAACTTAGAGGTTTATCAGCTTGGTGATGATATATATTACAGAGTAACCAAAGTAAGTTGCTATGGTGATAGTAAACGTCCGCCTATTGGTGTTATATTGTTATTGTTTATGTCCATGGAAATGAATATATGGATTATGCAAATGTTCTCAACTTAATTAGACAGATCATCATCATCATCCGTGACGTTATACATCGTGTTTGTAGACAACAAGTGGGCATACATCATTACTTTATGTTGGCAAACAAGATTTACTTTTTGTAACATTTCTGGTGTTGTCAGTAGTAAAACATGCCAGTAGTACTTTATGAACGTCTTGAGACGGGGGCGTCGATGTAAAATAATAGTTCAAGTAATTGCCATGATTCGAAAGCAAATGTGTGCGTGGTATAATGTGCGTAAAATACACCGAGTTGAAATACTAATAATAATGACTTTTGTCATTAGTCAATTCCGCCAGATCAGGAGTTATTGGTGTATTATGGAAGCAGTTACAGCATGTTTATGGGCATACCAAACCGACACAATGCGGACACAATGCAGAAGAGACCCACAACAGGTAATTAGCTGCCTTATCACAGCCAACGTGGCTCAAGCATGTCTTCCACCCGACAATACTTGTCTTCCATGAATGGTGCAGATCAAAATATCCAAATTTATAATTATTTGTTCATATTACCTTGAAGGGCGGTAGACGTCGCGCCGCGCATGTGCGATATTTGTTTTGATAAACATTGATTTTCCCAGAATCAAATGCGCTTTT